GAACGGGGGAGGGTCAGAGAGAGAGGGAGACTCAGAATCGGAAACAGGCTCCAGGCTCTGAGCCATCAGCCCAGAGCCTGACGCGGGGCTCGAACTCACGGACCGCGAGATGGTGACCTGGCTGAAGTCGGACGCTTCACCGACTGCGCCACCCAGGCGCCCCTCTTTTCCCTGTTTTTAAAGGTGCCTTTGTCATACAAAAGTAGATATGCTCTGGTGGTATGGAATTTATGGTTTTTACATCTGTGACTTCCTCACCAGAAGGGACTTGCGGTGCAGACATGATCAACAGATGCTCCCGTGATTGGGAAATCTTAGGATTTCGAATGTTATCTTTGACTTTTACCTACAAGAAATGTATTGGGACCAAAGAGTAAGGTAAGCTTAACTTCTTTTTCCAAATGGCCAACCATTTCCGAACGGTTCCTACACCATTTGCGGAAGAATTTCTCTTCACACCCTTTTCCAGGGGCTCTTGCTACCTTTTCCCTAACCCACCCACCCCCACCGACCCCTCTGCGCAGATGGTGACGGTGACCTAGAATGAAAGCAGATGTGACTTGTAGCGTTGGGAGAGGAGAGAAAATTGAGAAGCCCGGCAGTGGTCCTCCTGTCGGCCTTCTCACTGGAGGGAGATGCGCGCCCCACCTTGGGGACTGAGCTGAGCCACCCCACCCTGTTCCCCCGGCCCCCCACCCCGGGCCTTGCGGAGAACATCGTTGACCCTGTTTTGGGTCAGCGCGCTAGGCCGAGCCACGGTGAGTTGCTTTCACGGAGCGTTCTGGATGGACCCTGTTCGGGAAAAGCTAGCAACGCGCAAAATGGAATGTGAAATAAATCATTTGTCTCCGTGCAGGTGAACAACTGTAGGACTTTATGTGGACACGGCCCCGACTTTAAGAAGGTGCAAGGCCCTCCGCCCCTGTGGCATTAACCCATTTGACTTGGTGGGCAGGGTACGGGGAAGCCTCTGGTGAGATCTTCACTTTGGCCCTCCATTGATATTTCAGAGCCTGGGATTGAGCTGAAGATGTCTTTCCAATTGGCCGATCTTGGGCTACTTGGAAAAAAGTGAGGTTGGCGCTGGATGGGGCCCTCACCTACCTAGACAGAGACAGCTGCTGGGTCACTGACATGGACATTGGCACCAGTGACTGCCAAGGTCCGGGATCCAAGCCAGCTGCCTGGGGAGCTCGGGACAGGCACCTCCTTCCCACACTGCAGGTCGGCCCCTGGTCCTTGTGTGAGACAGAGAAGCCCCGCCGG